AGGTTTCAGTTTTCGAGAACTGTCCGATCTTTTCGCTGTCCTGTTTCTACTTTCGAATTGACCACAATTGGTTTCACTGCTTAATGCAGGCAAATAATAATGTTGTTAAAAATTAGTCGGCTCTATACAAGTGGGGTGGGCACGCCCAGCTTTTCACGCATGTCAAGTGACTGCCCTCACCCCCCCCCCCCCCCTAGATTGGCTACACTCCCCCTGGCTCACGAATTCCCCGATTCTCGTGACAGTATAGTAGCGGGCAGCAGTCCCACTTACATACATTTCTGTTCAAAAAATGCGGCGTGCCCACCCTACTTGTATAGCACCAACAGTCCTTACGTCGAAGTCATTCAAACCTTTCATGAGCAAGTGGTTATCATAAGCTCACGCTTTATCGTGGCAAGACTTGGCTATACTCTGTTTCTCATTGCATCAATGAAATGCTGAACAGTAACGAGGAATATCAACAATGCGGCTAAGAACAATGAGGCATAGACTCTGATATCACATAGGAGTGGGCAAAATAGAAAAATAGGAAAATAAATGGATGAGCAGTGTTAAAGCATATAATTACAATTGACTAGATATCATGATAATTAAGCCTAGCATCAAAGGGGAACGAGGGACGGTAATGCTTGGAACGTTGAGGATTTTAATGGGCAGATTTACAGTTCGTGATTCTGTCTCTCCTTTCACCAATAACTGGAATTCTTCGGAACTTGAAACGTTCCGTATTAGCAGCCGTGAGGTGTAACAATACGGTACAATCGTAGCAGGACCATCTCTATGTAGGCGTATCTGAAAAGCAGTTCTCATGAAAATATACGCTAAAGGTCGAACATTGCATCAGATCTCTGAACATCGAGTCGAATCAGTCAGCCATTTTGTCAAACTCTCCAATGTTCTATTTGAGTGGAACTCATGCGGACGTTGTCTTTCGAAAGTGACCTTATGTAACCGGTAACCGCGCGATCGACGAGCGCAATTCCCGCACGCTGTGTTTCCCCTTCCTTTTGAGAGGTCCAGTAGACGTGCATGA